TTCAGTCAAATTTCTTCTGAAAGAAGTACAAACTAATCTGATGTAGGTACCTATTAAAGTCTACTTTAAGCTTTAAATCAATAAATCTTTCAAACTACTGAACTGAAGCTCATATATTTTACATCATTATAAAGGGAATTGAAAGACCTTTAAAATAAGGTATCACTCGACCCCCCCTTTCCATTGAAGATTTTAGGGTTGGTGTCACCCCCGCCCAAGGGGCTACACGTGTTAGCGTGTTTTTTTGCCAAACTTGTGTCCCCGTCGAAAACAAAATCGACGGGTCTGAGCGTTTTTAAAAAAAAACTGAACTGCCAGTAAATGTGTCTGTTTCGTTTTCGATGCGCCACCCTGTATATATGTACGGAGAAATCTATCTATGTAGATGTGTGAAATATGGCTAATAGGTGCGTAGAATCACCGTGGTTGGGAGCGAATAAATATATTAACATCAAAATATTTTGATACACCTTTCCCGACCCTTTACGACCCCTAACCCTCAACATAAGTCTCTGAAACGTCGAAAAACGAATTTGACTTTTTTATGTGGAAATTTCAACCAATTCCGAGCGGTACTTCCCAGGTTATAGAGGAGAAAAGGAACAAGCGGACAGGCAGGCAGTCCGACGGAAATGAGTGACACATGGTTTTTCGTGTTGTACATATTTATATCGTATAATATCCAAAAACATAATATCTCATTATCGAAATTTTTCGCGCCCTGTTTTCAAGCAAGTCAAACCGTATTTGTAAAATATCATAAATATCGTTAAACCAATTCGGTTGGAATTTGGTCCAATTATTTGAAGTATTGAGATCGCTTATATTTTATTTTTGTTTTTTATGTTGACCATGAATAATTTTGAGAAACCGTTAAAGTGATTTTATTGTTATTTTTTTGGAAAACGAAGCTAGATATGAAGAAGGTCCAAAAAGTTGTATATTAGTTGCGTAATAAAAAAAAAGTACCAAAAAAAAGATTGGCGTATTTTTCCTCAATAATATGACTGAGACGCCACTGGATCCAATAATTTCAATTCAGCTAAATAGCGCCTTATTACTTCAAATAATTGCGCATTTCACAAACAAATCAAACATTTATGACTTTTTTAAAACATCGTTTTTTTTTTTAATTCAACGCCTTCTCAGAAACGCAGCAACTCCATACATGTGTTCATAGGAACTTTTTTATTTGAAGCGACCTAAAGAATCAGCATCTGAAGTTTCGTATCGTTGGGAATCGCCCTGTAAGGCTGCGCCGCTATGATAAGTTAGGTAGTGTATTTTATCAAAACCTTCCTCGGGCAGAATTGGTATGATAAATGGGAACTGATAATAATAAATGCATTTCGCATTACACTCAAGTAATGCTTGCCATACAGATAATTTTTTAGTGGGAATGCTCATTCTAATAACTATGAAGTTGCCTAGTATGTATTAGTTATTGTATAAAGTAAGAATAATACATAATTTTTAAATTAGGAAGTACCGCTCGTCAAGTGTAGGAAGAGATATGAGGATTTGCCGGGATTGCACACACGAGAGAGGGAGAACGCATTCGGGGCAGAAAAGATGGCACGTACAATACGTGCCATTCGATCTCGAGTGGTAAAGTCTCAAAAATGATTGGTACTCATTTTACTTTCAATTGTTGATAATTTCAATTAATAAACAATCAAATGAAAAGTAAGGTCAAAAAACTAACATCGCAGTAGATACAGTTGGCAATATTTTAGTAATTTATGAAGGTTCGCAGAGGATCAAATCCTGGAAGTTCGGAATCGGAATCTGAGCTACTACTTAAACTTAAATCTTCGGTTTCGCGATCGCTATCTTCGTCTAGGTTTATTATTATTTGATCCACAACTAAGTAGAGTGCCTCTACCATTTCCATATACTACCTCTCAAAATCTTTGGCATGCCCACATCGGTTTTGCCATTCTTCTGTGGGATAAGATGAGAAAAAGTCGTTCCCAAAGTTTGTCGACAGTCTTGAGATTAAAATCTACATTTCTCTCAGCCTCATATTGTTTCAAAGATGCCCATACCAACTCAAGTGGGCTCAAGTCAGGGTGACATGGTGGCAACCTCAAAACAGAATGACATTTTTCAGTTATTATTCTGTCTATTTCATAAGTTATGCATTTGTATGTTTTTTGCATTAGCCATTCTTTCATATGATCCTTCTTAGAGCACATAGTAGGTCATTTGACTATCTGAACATTATGGTACGGAGCGTTATTTATAACCAAAACACTATTCGGTGGTGGGTTGGGAATCAGTTTATCCTGAAGCCATTTGTTATAGTTACTATAGTTCATCTCACTATGATAATCAGCCGACTTACTATTGGATTTAAATTTCAATATGCATTTTCCACAAAACCATTTTCACCACCAGCATGCACTATAACAAATCTTTGTCCTTTTGAAACTGGCCTGTGAAAGCCCTCATTGGTATTATCGCTCTAGCTCTTTTCATGCGTATGTGATGTATAGATGTATGTTTCGTCCATATAAATTATAGGACCATTTTTTCTCTATATTCTTTCATCCTTCTCAGAAAATTTCTCCCGGATGCCGAATCTCTGAATCAAAATAGGAAATAGCAAAAGGCAGTATTTGACAAATCTGTCTGGGGTACCCCAAGGGTCAGTCCTGGGGCCTCTTTTATATTCCCTCTATGTTTTAAGTTTGTGTTGCTCTAATCGTAACTGTGATTATTTCACTTTTGTAGATAATACTGTATTGTTATGTTCAGGGGATAGTGAAATAAGTTTGGAGTCTGTAAGTTGAAGACAAACCTAGAAAAAACTAAGTTTATGATGTTCAAACAAAAAAAACATTTAATTGTGCCAAGTATTAAAATTGATTATGTTAGAATTGAGCAGACAGCATGTAATTTATCCTGGCATGATCATGTTAACCATGTAATGAATAATATCACTAAAATGGTTGGACCACTGTATAAGAATGACTTTTGACCAAAAGTATATCATCTACAGCGCATACTTCCAATCGTGTCTCATCTACCATGTACCAATATGGGGAGTGTGTTGAAAGGTTAATTTTAGTAAGGAGCAAAGGGTTTAAAATAAGTGATTAAAATTTTTATATAATCTGGACTGGCTTACACACACGCCTAACCTATATGAAAAATTAAACATCTTTGTCATGGATCAACTACTCGAGTTAGAACAATGTAAGTTTATGTGTAAAGTAATAAAGAAAGCGCAAAAGTGTAATACCGAAATACTTTTTAACAATGATATACCTACATGATTATAGTACTGGAACACATATGTGTGTCTACCAGTCTAATGTTAATAATAACACAGTTCCAAATAACCCGATATCACAAGCATCTTAGACATACAATAAGCTATTTGAAACAATAAAAAATAACTCGTATTATTGTTTTATAAAAGGTCTGAAACATTATATTCGTAATAAATAATTTATATTGTAAAATATTATTTAAGCGCATTTAAAATTATTTTATCATTATTATTCTCGATACCAGTGCTTGAAGCACTGTTAGAGAATTGTATGTTATATACATCTGTAATTCTTATTTTTGTAATACTTTAATCTTTAAAAAATTGTTTTGGGATTGTTAAATAATTCGATTTCGAAAATTGGCTAGAACAGAAGTAATCAAGGTCTAATCCATTAGTTTTGAGAGCTAATTTTGGATTAATGCCCGACGAAATCGTTCGTGATATAGATTCATCTTTCTAATGTATTTTTTACGATTTGGCAAACTCCTTTCTGTTTATAGTAATCTAATAATGGTACTAATTTAAGAAATACATAATATTCCATGAATTATGTGCATTTAAAACAGCGAATGGTACCAAAATGACACCGAGTCACGAAGATATGTAATATTGTAGTTTCTACTATTGATCTTTTTTTTCCTTCAATATTTTATATCTGCTCAGATGGAAAGTACGGAGAAGCACGAAAAATTTATCAATAACTGATTAGCATTTATCATAAAAAAGCTTAACAGGTAACAACAATTTTCTCTATTTAATCTGTCTATATTTAACGACCTATTTTCGAACAGAGGATCGTCTTCTATGAATAGGTTGGTCTATTATTAATTCATGATTGAAGGTTCGGGCAGTGGCGTTGTAAGGTGACTGATCCAGACAGATAAAGTATAGGCATCAGTATTCGGCATATTATTACCATTCCAAAATCTTCCACAATTTAAGGGGGAAGAACAATCTAAACCCAAAAATCGTTAGCTACCTGCTCGCCTCTTAGGTATTTCTTGAGAATCTTCCGCTGTTCCATATAAAGTTTCCCGTCAATTTGAGATTTTTCGATGATCGTCCCAGATTAACCCAGTAAACCGAAATTCGTTCAAAGATATATTTAAAAAATTCTTGAGTATCTGGAATAATCTGGGTGTATAAGTGGGTTTTGCATTTTTTGTCCATAGTTCACCCGTCTTTATACAAAAGATACAAAACATATTTAAAATTGAAATTGTTGCTTCACTGCGCGAACAATAAAAACAAATATTGAAAAAACGTGACTAATTGCTTATTTTGAGCATAGTGGAGCAACAATTTCATGTGAGTATAATAGTAATAAAAAACGTCTTTTTATTTGGGCAAAGCATAGCTTAAACTATTCCTCCACTTAACCCATACAGAATAAATACAAGCAGGAATATAATAGATAAATTACAATAAAACTCATATAACAAAAATATTATATATATTCAGTGTAATTACTCTGATAACTGAATAAATACAATTTTTATTAGCAAAAGTGAAATATAAGTATTTTTAATTTTGGCACTGGAAAAGTAGATTCTTGATATGTTTTTTAAAGTTATCAAATGTCAAAGATTCAATTTTAGGCGGTAATGAATTATATGGGGTTGTCCAAAACGGACGCAGGAAAATAAACGCATATTAAAACAAGAAAGATTGATATTCAAATCAAGTTGGGTACTTTATTTTGAAGGTTCATTTATACCATTTATGTGTGAAAAATAATATCGATCAAATGTTCACCACGACTGGATTTACAGACGTCCACGCGATGGTCGAAATTTTCAATGACATTTTGCAACATGGTCGGTTCTATGGCATTTATCTCGGCAGTGATGTTGTTTTTGAGTTCTTGGATGGTGGCTGGTTTGTTGACGTAGACTTTGCTTTTCAAATATCCCCATAAAAAGAAGTCCAAGTGAGTCAAATCGCACGATCTTGGTGGCCATGGCACATTTCCTCTGCGCGAAATCACGCGATCACCGAAGAAGGACTGCAATCGATGGATATTGACGTTGGTTGTGAGGCATGATGCACCGTCTTGTTGGAAATACACATCGTCCATATCCATTCCTTCAAGTTGCGGCAAAAAATAGTCCTCTATCATCACGTGATATCGCTCAGAATTGACGGTAACGGCGTCCCGGGCGCATTTTCGAAAAAGTAAGGTCCGATGATGCCTTTTGACCACAATGCACACCACACAGTCACTTTTTGAGGATGCATCGGCTGCTCTTGATACTCACGGGGATTTTCGTTCGCTCAGATGCGGCAGTTTTGCTTGTTTACCGTCCCATTCAAAGTGAAATGCGCTTGATGAAAAATTGGCATCAATTTGGCGGTGTTCAAGGAGCCAATCTGAGAACGTTCGGCACGAAAAATGGTTGGCCCGATGCAGCTCTTGCGTCAATTGGATCTTGTAGGCGTGTACATTCAAATCCTTGTGGAGAATGCGGAGCAAACTGGTTCTCGAAATGCCCAATTCTTGGGATCGACGCGTTGTTGATTGTTTCGGATCGTCTCTCACACTCTCCTTCACAACAGCAATATTCTCCGCTGTGCGAACGCTCCTTGGCCGGCCAGAGCCTGGCAGATTTGCCACAGAACCTGCTGCCTCGAATTTACACACCAGACGACCGATGGTTGTTTCGTTTGGGCGGTTGTTGCGACCGAAATGTTCACGAAGCGCGCGAAACGTGTCTTTTATTTTTGCACCATTTTTGTAGTGCTCTTGAATAACTTTAATGCGGTCTTCAATCGAATACGACTCCATAGCGATCAATGGTAAACATTCAAGTAACAAAATGACATGTCGGTTACAGAAAACAAAGATGGCGTCTATGTCAAATTGACGTTTACTATCCTGCGTCCCTATTGGACAACCCTTTACATAGATCGCATTGAAAGCCTTTATGAATAGATGAAGTTCTACGGATAGGTATGGAGAGTGTATTTGGAAAGCGAATATCTTTTTGACATCTGTGTCTTATGAAGTTCTTGATCATACCAATTGAAGAGTCAGGAAAACAATTGAATGATTTATCGTGTCAAATGCTTTGGTAAAATCTAAGAGGACTAAAGATGTCGACAAGTTTTGATCTCAAGCCTTTTCGATGTTATGTGTTAAGTCTAATAACGCGCCTGCAGTATTGTATCCTTTCCTGAGTCCGCATTGCTTAGCTGGTAGTATTTCAGAATGTAAAATGTAATTATTTAGCTGTATATACATCACTTTCTCTAATAGTTTTGATAATATGCGTACGATGCTTGAGTCTAAAATCAGAATAAGAAGTGGGGTTATTGTTTTTAGCTATCGGTCTAACTACAGTGCGTTTCCATAATTTGGGAAATAATGCGCGAACAGAGTTTCAACATTATAAGAGATGTACCATCAGTCTATAGGCTTGAAATTAAATCTATTATGAGTATAATAATTTGCCTCGTAAAGATGAATTGTTCCCGTACAGGAATTTGTATTAGTACTAGAAATAGAACTAAAATAATTATTTATTTTTACTGGGTCTCTCAAATGGTTAGGAATGTCACTATTTTTCAATGTTTGCACTCGTATTGCCTTTAAAGTTTTATATAAAGCAGAAGAATCATTTTGTGTCTGAGAAATGATAGATATGCTGCTTTTTCTGATCTTATCTTTGCCAAAGCAGAATTTTGTAAGGTTTTATAACGTTCCCAAAATCATTTCTAATGTTTGTATTATGTTAAAGGTTTACTTCTCTCTTTCATAATTGACTTAACATCCCTAGTTAACCATGGAGCATAGGGCTTATTCACACGTCATTATTTTTAAGGGTGCGTGCTTATCAAACATAATTGTTATACAATCAGTTATGAAAAAAACTTTCTCATCAATGTCTTCTAAATCATATAAGTTATTCCATGGGAAATTAACCAAATCATCTATGGTGGATAATGATGAACTATAGATAGATATTTATTGGGCCGAATTATACAGGGTGTTACTTAATGATCCGTACGACATGTGTCACAAAAAGTCTGGAATTCAACAGGGTGTCAAAGCTTAAAAAGTCTTCCTTTCGACATAACAAAAATAATAGCAAACATAACATTCCCTAGAAACGAGTTGATTTGATTTTAAATCAAGTTGTTTTGATGTTTACCCGACTTATCAAGTTCATCAACAATGTACCAAGGATTGTTCCTTTAAACTAGGTCGGCCCAATAGTGGATGTAGTGATTTTTTGACAGTGTACTATCAGAATGTTAGAGGGCTAAACAGCAAAATTAACAAATTCTATCCTGCTGTGAGTGACTGTGAGTATAATGTATTTGCTTTAAGCGAAACGTGGCTAAAGCCCGAAGTAAACTCTCTCGAATTATTTCCCAATTCTTTTGACGTTCATTGTAAGGACAGAAAACATAATCAATTGAAGCTGTCAATGGGTAGTGGTGTACTACTGGCATTTGAAGCGGCTCTTAACGCTGTTGTAGTAGATACTACGCAGTTTGATACAAGTTTCCCAGAAATAGATTTTTTGGTATGCAAATGCATTGTATCTCATCAGAATCTTTATTTCGCTGTCATATATGCTGCACCACATGTTTCTGTTGATAAATTTGAAGCTTTTTTTGAAATGTTAGAAAACTGGGAAATCATGCATTCCAAACGTGTTGTCTTTCTGGGTGATTTCAATTCTCCAAACTTTGTGGAAAATAATTTAAATGACGCAAAGACCCGCTACATTGTTAATTGGCTCAACTTCTGGAACATGAAACAGTATAATAATATTCATAACCAATATGATAGAATCCTGGACTTAGTAATAAGTAACATTAATTGTATTGTTTATAGAGATTTAGCTCCATTAGTGGATGAAGACGTGTATCATCCTTCTTTGTCCGTAACATTAAAAACTATCTGCAAAAAGAGTGAATACGTCACAGTCAGTACTGACCAAAACAGATATAATTTTAGACGTGCTAACTTTTTTTTGCTGTACAATTCTTTGTTATTGGTTAATTGGGATTTCTTGGATAACACTAGTGACACAAATGATGGAATTAATGCATTTTATACCAAACTTTACGAATTATTCGATGCACACGCTCCACAATATAAAAATTTCAGGCAAAAATATCCCTCTTGGTACACCAGTGAAATTATAAAACTAGTAAAACAAAAAGACAAAGCGCACAAAAAATTTAAAAGGTCTGGTGCTAACGAAGATTACCAAGAATTCAGCAGAATCAGGAAAATATTTAAGCTTAAAACCAAAGAGGCATATAATATCTATCTTCATACCATTCAAAATCAGCTAAATGATGACCCTAAGTCTTTCTGGTCTTTCGTACGTAGTAAAAACAACACTTCTATGATTCCGAATAGAATGTTGTATGGAAACGAGTCATTTGGTGATCCGCAAAGGATAGTCAACGCCTTCGCTGATTTTTTCTCCAGCGTTTACTCAACTGCTAAAGTCGATACTGAGTTGAACTTTGATTTCAGTCATAGTGAACTCAGATGAGGAAATTTTAGTGGCCTGTAGAAAGCTTAAAAGTAAATTGACTGCTGGACCTGATCAAATCCCATCTTTTATTGTTAGAGATTGTATCAGGAAATTAGTTCATCCTTTACGGGTTATCTTCAATTTAATCCTAACAACGACTGTTTTCCCCGATAAATGGAAAATTGTCAAAGTTTGCCCAATTCCAAAATCAAAAAATTATCACTGTATCAGTGAATATAGGGCTATATCTATACTCAATAATTTTGCAAAACTCTTGGAGATCGTACTGTACAACCGCATTTACCTGTCCACAAAAAAAAAAGTATTTCACGGGCTACAGACCAAACGGCTTGATGAATTTTGACGCACGATATGACGTTGGATTGGATCTTAGCTGTTCGAGTGACAGCGGCCATATTAAAATTTTGTATAACTAAAATGGCGAATTTTAATAAAAAAAAACAACCTTGGAAATCCTATTTCATATACAGCAGCCAGGTTTTTTGTATTTTTTAAAAATGTACTTGTTTATTGATATTATTAAATTACTATCTGCTACCACATTCGTTTAATGTATTCAACATCTAACAATTCTTCTATGTTTGCTTTTTACCAAATATCCTTTGTACGTTGTAATCAGTTTGATGTCTACCTAGCATTTAAATGAATCAGTTTGAATTGTTGCCACCATTCGATATAAATTCTATTTGGAGCGTTGATTTCGAATCAATGTCGACATTTAAATTGGGTATTCCGTGGACATTATTAACACCAATTCGTCTATTTGTCTGTTTAAATTGAAGTAACACTACAAATTAATTACATCAATTCTCAGTATCTTAATGAAAGTCAAGTGCGCCTTGCCGCCTGGCAAGCGTTACTAACTGGATAGATTAATATGTGTACTAACAAATTGCTCAGATAGGCTGCACTAATCAGGCTGATAGTTGCGGAAAGCATAGCTGTTCTATTATATTTTCTGGTATTTGCACATTGCAAATCCTTGGTTATCTGAAAGAATCATGGTCTGTAAGTGGGTTTGCTGTCCTGATAATTCAAAATTTCCAGTTGATCGCACCCATACAGTGAGATCTAATCTTGTTCATAATTTTTTCTGGGACACCCGGTATGATACTTCAGTTGCAGCCTTACTTTTGTCGATTGTTTTCAAAAAGATTGTCTGTTGTCCAATGTAACTGATTTTTTAATTGTTGTGTTTAGTGTAAATAATTCTAAATACGGTCCTGAGTTTCATCACATACATTTTTGCCAAGGTCAGGCGTCAAAACGTGATTAACTATTGTGAAAAACAGTAGATTATTTGAAATTAGGCTGATAGGTTTTATCACTAATATCCGGTAACACGACTTGGTGAATACGAAAAAATATTTCTCGGGCATTTGAAGGAACTTTTACTGTGATACATCAACGCTTGGTGAATACAGGAGTCATCAGTGCGATTTTCTTAATTACCTAAATGCCCAAGTTCCATTGACTAAGGCTATGGTTATTATTGCCAGTCTTTCGTAATTGAGTTATTACGCAGGAGGCTTGTTTGTTTTAAACAAAGCCTCCAGTCTAAGAAGTTCGCGAGGGATGAAAAAGTTTTAATTAATTTAGTTGTAATGCGATACTTTTGGCGCAGGGCAAGGCGGCATGGAAAAAATCTTTAGCATTGTGCCGAGAATAAAATCGGGAAAAGTATTGTCTTGCATATAATTTTTTTTTAGATGTTATAAAACTTTTTTAATCTTTTCCATGATGTGAATTTGTGGGAAATGCGGACTATGTTTCGCCGTGAATGTAGATTTTTTATACTGGATTAGCCGCGTAAGCAGAGCTTAAATACCAAGGTACTACAACTGCTTTTAGGTTGTTTTGAATCGTCTAAGGATGGTGAAATTCTCTTCTGACAGATTTTTCCAAATACTCGATACTTTTGCACCAAACAGGGTAGTCGTAACTACAGATGAACGTACAGAAATTGATCGGGTTACAATAAAGAAGGAGATAGTCAACAAAAACCGAAACTCGAACTGAGCTAAAAAATGTTCAGTAGACCGTTGAAGAAGAATTTTGTGCAAGGCCACAGATGTTCGTTCAAGAGTCATCCGCACTGGTACTAAATAGCTTGAACTTTATGACAAGACGTCAACTTGGACCTGTATTTCACTTCATGCTCACTTGTAGCAAGCCCGGAATAAACTATCTGGACACCTCCTACTTAATCAACAAGTTGGGCGCCATCTTGAAAAAAAATTATATGAAAACGGGGGTCTTGTGGCACATCACTTTGAAGCTCCTGACGAGTACTTTATAACCCTAGAATATAAAGTCAATACCTTTACATACTACAAAATAGTGGCACATTTAATAATTACCTGAATACATTGTCATTTAACTTGATAATTCGAATAAATACGTTGAGTTTAGTTTAGAAGATGCTGGAAACGGTTGCCCTGAACTTCTTGACACAATAACAGCCGGTCCGTAATTTCGCGTCGAACATTTTCAAACATAGTAACATCGATACTTCTACAAATATTTATTCTCAGCCGTATATCCAATATTAAAGCAGGTTCAGTTTCGTACACCTTTTGCTTCAAATAGCCCCGTAAAAAAAAGTCTAAAGGTGTCAAATCTGGCGAGCGAGCTGGCCATTCCACAGGACCTCGACGCCCAATCCAACGACCGGGAAAAGTGCTATCTAAAGAACTCCTAACTGGTCTGGAGTAGTGTGGTGGAGCACCATTTTGCTGGAATACATCAGTATCGAATTCATTAGGATTCGCCTCGGCGATTTCGGTATCAATAGTATTTTCCAGCATATCCAGATACAGTTCCCCGGTTAAAGTCTGTTCGATGAATAGAGACCCCACAATATGATTTCCCAATATCCCAGCCCAAACGTTAATTTTTTGTGGATATTGAGTATGAGTTTCCCGGAAGACGTGAGGATTGGTGTCACTCCAATAACGACAATTTTGACTATGCACATTACCATTGAGAAAAAATGTACATTCATCGCTAAACCAAATATTTTGGATATAGGTAGGATGCCGTGTAATGGTTTCCGTCATAATCTCGCAGAATTCTGTTTTTCGATCAGGGTCATCTTCAGTTAGCTGATGTACCATTTGAATTTTGTATGGGTGATACTTATTCTTTTTCAAAAGTTTCCATATAGTAGAAGGACAAACCTCACATACATTCGCGATGGAGGAAGTAGACTGTTGGGGATTTACTATGATCTCACCAATTATTTGAACTTGCTTTTCTTCCGGGATGGTCCGATGACCTGGGGGCTTTTTGTTGTTTACACTAGCTGTAAATTTAGATACAAGTTCCCTGAAATATTTTTTACGGATAGGACGATTCGGGAAACGATCAGTAAAAATCCTTTCGGTCTCGTGCGTCGCACCATAAATAAAAATCGCTTCGATTTTTTCTTCCAATGGACGAGAATCGACCATTTTAAAAATAGTTCAAACAGTATCTAGCACTAAAACCAAAAACTAAATAAGAATATTTTAACTGTACAATGATGGTTTGTTTTCGTACTGATATTCTTGTCACTGTCAACAAAAAATAACAAAACAAGTTTTTATCGCTGTTGCTGTGGATACGGCAGGGCATTACAATTATTATATTAGACAAGACCCCCGTTTTCATATCATGTTTTTTTCCAAGATGGCGCCCCTCGGCCATGTTGACATTTTCATCTGTCAATTTTACTCTAAAATATGGTATCCACGCATCAATTTCATTACCTTAAGTTTTAATTTTTTGAATTGATCCGTTCAAAAAATCAAAGGGTAGGGGGATATTAAAGAAAAGCACTGTATAGTTTTCTTACGTAATTACCCTGCCGTACTATATAGTATTCAGAATAGAAGCGTCAGTTTATGGTGCGGTAGAATTGTTAGGAATGACAATATTAATGTACACTGAATGAAAAGCCTGTGTTCTAGTTGAGAGAAAAAAATAGTGAAAAACTTAGATGCTGCTTAATGCTGCCAGCGCTTAAAGATAGCGTTAAAATAGCAGTCAGCAGATCTCTTGACATCTGTGGAACTTTCCACTGTAGTAGACTATAGACTTCTAATATCTAGTCATAAACAGAAGTGACGTCACAAGTGTTGATTCGTGGTTTGAAGTTCGTTTCATTTGAGCAACTTTTACCTCCTATTTATAAACTATTGTTAAATAAAAATATAGCATTGGATTTTTCAGCACTTTATCCATATATTTTCCATAAATAGTATTTTGGTATCTTTTTTTATATACTTCAACCACCACGAAGGCCTAAGGCCTAAACACCCATGGGTACCGTAAGGCTATAGGGGGATACAGGCCTACGAGATCCGCCGGGTGGTACCTCCGCGTTCGACAGTCAGAAACCGTCTACCACGTACGGACAATCACAACATCCATAGCCAAGAGAAAATTTTCTCCTGGGACGGGACTCGAACCCGCACAGCGCACGGCGACTGATCAGGAGACCGAAGAGTCTACTACTGCGGCCACCGCTGCTGCTTAAGTTGTATAAAGATCCTCTGACACAATTGAACTTCTAGAGTATTTGAATCTCATTTATGGCCAGCTTGATATAAATGCCTGGACAGGCAGCAACAAGCGGGATTGAGAAGTCTGTAGTTGCTGAATGTCAAAATCACCACTCCCTAGGAGTTTTCCTGTTCGAGTCCTGTCTCGATTATCATATAATAATAATAATAATAATAATAATAATAATAATAATAATAATAATAATAATAATAATAATGCCTTTATTAGCTGCAGTGAGGCGAAGTTTAGCCGGGCGGCTACTCTTACACCCAACCCCACAACAGGAAAAAAGAATACTTAAACACAAAATAATATACCAACATACCAAAAAAAAATATATAATTAATAAGAATGACAACATTGATTGCACGAGACAAATGCAGATAGTATTCCGAGAGTTTTAAATTTGAAACAAAAATAGTAGCAAATAGTCAAACAAAAAAAAGCACATGAACACAAGAAAAACTGAACTAAATGGACTCCAGCAGCTGTCTTTTCAATAATTTCTTAAAAGAAGCAACCTGTTTAGATCGATAGCCACTGTTGACTGCATTGTAATGCTTGACAGCATTATAGGTGTAACTTCTTTCAAAGACCGAGGTATTTTGAGGAGGCATGTTAAAATTAGCATTAAATCTAAGAGCTCTGGTAACAAAGCTACCTCGGTGAACTAATTTGCTAGCGAGGTAAGCTGGTCTGTTAGATAATAGAACTTTATGCGTGAAGACGGTCAAAAGATATAAAAATAACTTGTCAATTCGCAACCAGTTGAGTTCTTTGATTTTAACTGAGATGCGACTAAACTTACGCAATCCAAAAATAAACCTACAACAGCTGTTCTGAATTTTCTGGAGTTTCCTTTTGTGGACGTAGTCTTAACATGGGTAATAAAGAACAAGAGAATAAGAAATGACAGACAGTGAGCGTTTTTTGGGTTTTAAAATTCAAGATGAGTCGATTAGTATAGAGGAGTTTCAAACGCATATACGTTACTCTAGATAAGAAACAGACATGCCGATCGAATCTCATATTTAAGTCAAGGGTAACACCGAGATTCTTGGCGTAATCTACAAAAGGGATGAGTGTCTCATCCAAAACAACACAAATCCTCTACTTCATTTCACGGTAGGAGTTCTTCGAACAGTACAACATTGCAGTAGTTTTATTAGGATTGATCTTCAAGCAGTGTTTGTTACAGTAATCACTGATGTTAGCCAAATCTAAATTAACTTTAAAAGAAACTTCATCAACCTTTGATGGATCGAAACCAAACACTAACTATCATCTGCATAAGTTTGCATACTACAGTGGACAGTCTTGCAGATCGATCGTATAAATCAGATATAGTAAGGTACCTAATACTGAGCCCTGAGAAACTCCTGAAGGAACTGGCTCAGAGGAGGAAATTCCTTGTTCAGTTTTCACTGTTTGTTGACGATTTAGCAAGTATGACTCAAAGAACCTTAGAACTATATCTGACATTCCATAATGAGATAACTTACTCAGTAGTATCTGGTGATTGACCATATCAAAGGCTTTCGAGAAATCTAACAGTATCAAGACGGTGTTGATGTGATTATCTACATTGTGAATGATGGAATCAGTAACATGTAATAAAGACGAAGTCGTGCTGTAACCAGCTCTGAAACCTGACGGATGTAGAGGAAATAAGTGATTTAGTTCGAAAAACTCCACTAGTTGTGAGTAGACAGTTCTTTCGAGTATTTTTGATAGAAAGCATAATAAGGCAATTGGCCTGAGATCCGAATATTGTTCTGGATGATTAGTTTTAGCTATTGGAATAATAATACCATTTTTCCAACTGGCAGGAAAGTAACCTGTTTAGAGACAGACATTAATAATGTGAGTTATATGGTCTATGGTATCAGGCAAACATAAGCAAACCATATTTAGAGTTAGACCATCAGAGCCACATGCCGTAGACTTAATGTGAGAGATTATATTGACGATGTCTTGCTGAGTAAGGAGTTTAAAAGCAAACAGAGGTGCATCCGGTGTATGGCGTCTATCGCTATAAGAGTTAGAGACACTATCAATCAAATTTGGATCAGCTGCAGCAGTCTGGAAAATTGAAAGAAAATAATTATTTAAAATGTTAGGCTCAAGGAGACTGGGAGGTATCGCAACATATTTCTGGGCTACCACTATCATCCTCCATACCGATCTACACGCGAACGCAAAACTACGCGCAGTATTCTTATGCAAATGTACAGCTTCAGGAAACGCCCCGGGAACCTCTTTGCAATTTGTTTTCTGAGAGTACTTTACAATAATGTTCGCTACAACTAGTCTGTTAAATCTGAATTAAAAACACCAAGGATATTATAAGATAAACACTCCATATCACAATTAGCGTTATTATAAAATCTTACTAAGCATGAAGAACTATTCGGAAAAAAAATCGTTCCGTGTCATTATCTAGCAGGCGAATGATACATTTAGCAATATGCAATCAACTTTCATGGCAAAAATAAATTTTTGTGAAACAGAACACGGAGGTCACTATAGCAGATACAACATAATTATTGCAAATATTTTATACATGGTGCGATCTTATCTGGCGTACCAATTAAGAATTACTGAACGTGCAGTTGGTCACGTATTCAATTTTGGTACAGAGGCTGATCCAAAAACAGCATCATTGTTTAAAGAATAATAAATAATTTGAATTTGAATTGGCAATATCCCCATTCAAAAATACAGCAGGTTGTACATTCCAACGTAACTGATCCTACAACTGCTCGATACCATATACCAGTTGGCATCAAGTAGGTTGACTCTGTAGTTTCCGCATAATGCTGTAATTGTTTATGCATTATGTATAGTATCTAAGTTTACTTTTGTCCGCTCTGGAATCTTTATAAAGGGTGTTTTAATAACGATGCAATATTTTACGGTTCTATTGAACATGGTATTTCGTAGCGAACAACAGAAATATTTATTGGACTTTGGAATTATGTATGAAACAATACATCAAGTAAATGGCAACCACATGCGCGTTCTTTTAATAAAATTTGTGGTAACATTTTTGAACATGTGGTATCTCGTTGATACAGCGTCTGATTTCAGCTTTTAATGCTTCGGTAGTTGCAGGCTTGCTGGCATAAACTTTAGATAACCCCAAACCTAAAAGTCCAAAGGTGTTGAATCACAAGAGCGTGGCGGCCAATTCTGGCCACCAAACCGGGAGATGACTCGATCAGGAGCAAACTCGTGCAAAACTGCCAATGTTTCATAAGCAGTATGGCATGTGGCACCATCCTGCTGAGCCAATGTCATTAAGAGCCATGACTTCTAATTGTGGCACAAAAAACTGAGTAATCATTGCACAATAACGTTCGTCATTCACTCTTAGCGGATTATCCGCCTAGTCCTCAAAGAAAAACGGTCCAATAATTCCTGCAGACCATAGTGCACACCAAAGAGTGACACGCTTTGGATGCATAGCTTTGTCATGAATTAGTCTTCGATTCTTTGTGCCCCAAATGCGGCAGTTTTGTCTATTGACGAAGCCATCGAGATGAAAACGGGCATTGGCATAAGGCCGCAGATTAGCAGGGATATTAGTATAAAAATCATAGTTAATTTGGAAAGAACTGAAATTATTGACTCTGAACCAGCTTTCTTACGCTTTTATAGGCTTAGTATTGGTCGGCTGTGGAATCCATTATAGCTGAAAATAATATACAGCACAAAGTGCCATCTATTACCAGAATCGAAAAATGTGGTGAAAACAGCAGGCTGTCTGTTGGAACTCTATGCCAGTTATCATTGTTAGCCTTCTAGATGCCGTAGATTCAATGAACAAACTAGTAGTAGTAGCTTTCATTCGTTCAACTTCAGGCGGCCAACCCTGAACAACTGTTTCGTGCTATTTGGCAATTCGTCACGATGGTGCAGGCTTGGTCTCGGTGGACAACGGACGGAAGCTTTGGTGGATTCTGGTAATAGATGGCACTTTGTGCTGTCTTATTTTGATAGACTTTATACCCTGAATAGAGTAGAGTTGCTCAACATGATATCAAAAAAACATAATATTTTCTTTTCAAAATTATTAGCGATTGCACTTCTTCCTCGCCAGTAGTCGTAAGAATTAAAATTATTTTATTTTTATTGAATAACGCTATAATATTGTGATATCGCATTCTTAGACAGGAGACGAACAAGACATTGATGATTATAGACCAGTGTCATTACTGAGTATCTTCTCTAAAATTATTGAAAAAATCGTGTATGACTATATAAATTTATCAAATATAACATTCTAAGTAACAGACAGCAAATGTATGTCTACAGAGTTGTGCTGCATTGACCTAATTCAATACATATCCGATAAACTGGACAGAGGGGAACTTGTGCTCACTATATCATTTGACTTGACACGTGCGTTTGATACAGTTGACAAAATTTTTGTTAAGGAAAAAATGGAACATATGGGACTGAGGGGTAGTATTAATTTTTTTATTTTTTCTTCCTTATCAGGTCGTAGGTTTGCTGTTTAAATTGGAGAATTAGCGTCCGATTATTATAATCAAGACATCGGTACCCCACAGGGTAGTGTTCTTGGACCCCTGCTCTTTCTGCTTTTCATAAACGATTTACCAGACCACATCACTGAAGGCGGATGCTACTACTGCAGTAGTCCCTGCTGTATCTGAAACTGAAGCGGAATACCGTGCTCCAAGAGTTTGCTAACTGGTGTAATCTAAACAATCTAATGATTAATCACGATGAAACTGTAGCTATGAATATAAGATCTGTGAAGAAGCAATCCTGTAATGTTAACTTGTCCCTTAATAGCCACAACATAGAGCTCTCTCTGTCTACAATTTTTTTGGGCT